GTAGGGAATAAAACTAGTAGGGCAAAAGAAAATGGAAATGGAGAATATTTGAGGAGGCTTTTGTCATTGTCCAAACAAGAAATCTATGATGGGGCTATTGTCACCATCCAAGCAAGTAAGATATGGTCACATATAGGACATAGGACAAACACTCTTTGACATAAATCACAGCAAGATCTTTTTGATCCACCTCCTAGAGTAATGGAAATAACAAAAATAAACAAATGGGACCTAATGAAACTTAAAAGTTTTGCACAGCAAAGGAAACTACAAACAAGACAAAAAGACAACCCTCAGAATGGGGGAAAATATTTGCAAATGAATCAACGGACAAAGGATTAATCTCCAAAATATATACACAGCTCATGCAGCTCAATATTAAAAAAACAAACAACCCAATCAAAAGATGGGCAGAAGACCTAAATAGACATTTCTCCAAAGAAGACATACAGATTACCAAGAAGCACATGAAAAGCTGCTCAACATCACTAATTATTAGAGACATGTAAATCAAAGCTACAATGAGGTATCACCTCACACCAGTTAGAATGGGCATCATCAGAATATCTACAAACAACAAATGCTGGAGAGGGTGTGGAGAAAAGGGAACCCTCTTGCACTGTTGGTGGGAACGTAAATTGATACAGCCACTATGGAGAACAGTATGGACGTTCCTTAAAAAAGTTAAAATAGAATTACCATATGATCCAGCAATCCCACTCCTGGGCATATACCCAGAGAAAACCTTAATTCAAAAAGATACATGGACCCCAATGTTCATTGCAGCACCATTTACAATAGCCAGGTCATGGAAGCAACCTAAATGCCCATTGACAGATGAATGGATAAGGATGTGGTACATATATACAATGGAATATTACTCAGCCATAAAAAGGAACGAAATTGGGTCATTTGTTGAGACATGGATGGATACAGAGACTGTCACACAGAGTGAAGTAAGTCAGAAAGAGAAAAACAAATATCATACATTAACGCATATATGTGGAACCTAGAAAAATGGTACAGATGAACCAGTTTGCAGGGCAGAAATTGAGACACAGATGTAGAGAACAAATGTATGGACAATGAGGGGAGAAAGCAGGGGTGGGGGTGGGGGTGGGTTGAATTTGGTGATTGGGATTGACATGTATACACTGATATGTATAAAATGGATGACTAATAAGAACCTGCTGTATAAAAAAATAAATAATATAAAATTAAAAAAAAAAAGAATCTATGGGATTTCCCTGGTGGTGCAGTGGTTAAGAATCTGCCTGCCCATGCAGGGGACATGGGTTTGAGCCCTAGTCCAGGAAGATCCCACACGCCGCGGAGCAACTAACCTCGCGAGCCACAACTACTGAGCCCACATGCCAGAACTACTGCAGCCTGTGTGGAGCCTGTGCTTTGCAACAAAGAGAAGCCAGCACAGTGAGAAGTTCACGCACCACAACGAAGAGTAGCCACTGCTCGCCGCAACTAGAGAAAGCCTGCGCACAGCAAGGAAGACCCTATGCAGCCAAAAAATAATAATAATTAATTAATTAAAAATAAAGAATCTAGCAGGCCCTGAAGCTCTTACGGATTCCAAAGGTTGGTTCCCTATACAGTCCTGGCTCCAGTCACTGGGCTGGAGGATTCTGGTGCCTGATGCTTGACTGTGGGGCTACAGAATTCTGCCTTTAGAATGTTGTTGCCTTTGCCTTGAATGAACTGTTCATGTAAGATGTGCTGGGATCACCTTAAAGAATATAAGTTATCACCTTAAAGCTGAGATTCATCTAGTTTAAACAGACTGTCTGAGCTGTAAGATGCCTGCTTGGTAAAGCCTGCACGGTGAAATGTGGCTGAGCATGCTGGTATCAAGGCTGGGGGAGGGAGGCAAATCTCATCTGCCCCTAACCACTGGTAGCTACTGCTCTACATTAAAAACCAAACAAACAACCCCAAACCTGATCAAATTGGGCTGGGGCAGTTGGCAACACCATTGTGCCGTGAGATATTCTGTACCATTCTAGAAGGTTCCAAGTTGGCTCCGAGATCTGCCCCCACCATCAATCTTGCCCTGCAGCAAGCCTATGGAATGCCTTTTACTAACTTTTTCCTGAACGGAGGTGTAGAGAAATGCCTGGCTCAGGAACAAAACTAAACATCAGTTTTACAGTCTTTTTTTTTCTAGCCCATTCCACACCAGTATGTGAGCTATTAATAACCTCAAACCCAGGAAACACCCCTAACAAAGCTGTATGAGGCAGTGACTCCTGAATGCTGAGAGAGATGTTACATTTACATCTTCCTGGCCCTTGCCTCTTAATTCCCGTCCTCAATCCTGTTATCCTTCCTTCCTCCAATCCACCACCCCCCGTGCCCTTGATGTCCCTGCTGGTCTCACTGGCTTACAAATTGGTCTCCTGATTAGGCTGAAGACGGTGAGGGAGTGAAAGCTTCCTTCTCACCCCACTAAGCAGTGGCCACCTACCTGAAGTGACATCATGGTTAATCCCACTGACAGAAATGACAGCGTCTGCAAGATTATTATAATTCTCATCCCGCACCATTCCCTTGATGCCTTGGTGTACCTGTAGGAAAGTTTATAGTGTATAGTTATGCTCATAAAACCTTTGTGCTGTGTTTGAGAGTCCACGAAGCCCTTTCCCATGTGTTTCTGCACTTGATCTTCACAAAGATTATGGTGATAGACCCTTGACTGGTCTCTCTGGTCTCACCCCTATCCCCAATAATCTCAATAGAGCAGTCAGAGTGATCCTGTTAAAATCTAAGTCAAATCATGTCACTAATCTACTTTCTATCTCTATGAATTTGACTACTCTTGATATCTCATATAAGTAAAATTATACCATATTTGTTTTTTGGGGGACTGGCTTATTTCACGTAGCATAATGTCCTCAAGGTTCATCCATGTTGTAACATATGACAGAATTTCCTTCTTTTTTAAGGCTGTATGCCCATTGTGTATCTATACCACATTTTGTTTATCCCTTCATCCATCAATGGACACTTGGGTTGCTTTCACCTTTTGGCTACTGTGAACAATGCTGCTATGAACATGCATATACAAATATCTCTTTGAGATCATGCTTTCAGTTCTTCTGAATATATACCCAGAAGTGGTTTTGCAGGATCATATGGCAGCTCTATTTTTAATTTTTTCAGGAACCACCACACTGTTTTTCATAGTGGCTACCCCATTTTACATTCCCACCAACACTGCACCAGGGTTCCAATTTCTCCACATCCTTGCCAACACTTGCTATTTTCTGTCATTGTTTGTAAATTTCTTTTTCTTATAGCAGCCATCCTAATGAGTGTGAGGTGGCATTTCACTGTGGCTTTGATTTACATTTCCCTCAGGATTTTGAGCATCTTTTCATCTACTTGTTGTTGGCCTTGCATTTGCAATTGTGACTTCATCAGGGAGCCCTTTTCCCCTAGATATCTTTGTGCACTGCGCCACCAGGGAAGCCCCCCTTACCTCCTTTAAATCTGTTTAAATGTCACTTTCTCTGTAAGGCCTTCTTCATAGCATTTTGCATTTAACATGTTATAAAATTTATTTTATTTTTTCTTTATTGTCTGTCTCTCCTCACTAGAATATAAGCTGCATATACACAGAGATATTTGTTGTTTGCTTACTCTTCTTTTTAAAATTAATTTATTTGTTTTTATTTTTGGCTGTGTTGGGTCTTCCTTGCTGCGTGTGGGCTCTCTCTAGTTGTGGTGAGTGGGGGCTACTCTTCACGGGCTTCTCATTGCAGTGGCTTCTCTTGTTGCACAGCACAGGCTCTAGGCGCACGGGCTTCAGTAGTTGTAGCACTGGGGCTCAGTAGTTGTGGCTCATGGGCTCTGGAGCGCAGGCTCAGTAGTTAGTTGTGGCGCACGGGCTTAGTTGCTCTGCAGCATGTGGGATCTTCCCAGGACAGGGCTCGAACCCATGTCGCCTGCATTGGTAGGCGGATTCTTAACCACTGCACCACCAGGGAAGCCCTGTTTGTTCACTCTTAATCCCGAGCATATAGTACAGTCTCTGACAGATAGTTGTGCTCAACAATGTTGAATGAATTAATTTCACTGGTAGAGAAGCTGAGATCTATTGTAATGAGTCAGAGCAAAAGTCAGACCTGAGTCACACAAAATACCTTGCCTACCATCAGAAAACACTTCCCTTTCTGTAACCAGGAGAGTTAAAGAATGGGATTTACCTGTTCCAAGAACTGAATTAGGGCTTCCCGATTACTCAGCCACTCGCGCTGTAATTGCTCTTGCCGCGGAAACTTGTCACAACTCAGTTCCAGCGTGATCTCAAAACAGTTGGTATGGAGGTAATTAAAGTCTTGCATTCCTAAGGGAAAGA